TGGGGCTGGCTGGCTTCGGGCAGGGCAGAGGAGATGAGAAGCTGGGTGTGTGGGGCTGGCTGGCTTGGGGCACGGGGGTGCTGCAGGGGTTGGATGGAGGCAGGAATGTGGGGCTGGCTGCAGGCAGGGCAGTGGGTGTGGGGCTGGCTGAGGGCAGGCTGGCAGGTACCAGTGCCATCCCTAGATATTCTTGGGCCCTACGCAGCCCCCCCACGTGTGGGGGTGCCCAGGCTTCCGTTGGGGAGGCGGGAGCAGGGGGGGGAGGCCTGGCTTCCTTGGGGGGGGGGGCAGGGGGAACCACCCCCCAGCACTCATCAGCGGCGCGGCTGGGGCTGGGTCTCTGTACTTCCTGCTGCCGGTGAGTGCAGCCCCGGCCCTGCTGCAGTGCTCAGGGGAGTGGGGGCAGGGCGGGGCTGAGCAGGGTTGGGGCCCTGGGGAAGAGCCAGAGCAGCAAGGAGCAGTGCAGCGCCCCCGGCATCACTTCCCGGCCGGCCGGAGCTGATCAAAGAGGGTTACACATTTAGCCGGTGCCGGGTGAGCATCCTAGACGTTTTGGGCACCGCTTTTTGGCACCCTCAAATCTTGGCGCCCTAGGCGGCTGCCTAGTTTGCCTAGTGGATGCACCGGCCCTGCTGATTGAGTACCAAAGGGAGCTGGCAAATGTTCATGCTCTTCTTTTGACCACATTCCTTGACTTCCCAGCCCATCATGAGGCAACTTGACGGGGAGATGAGTGATTTGAGGAACAGCCAGCCATGCTGCATATCATCCTTGATTCCAAGGTGGGCGAGGGAAGGATGTTACTGTTTCCCAAGGAGCTCAGTTCCCCACTGCTAGTCCAGTTTGAAGAGATGGTGGGTGGGGGGAGAGATGTGATGGCTGCTGGCCTCTGAAGTATTAGTGTCACCTTGTGACAGCAACATCCCTTGAAGAGGGAAGAAGCCAGTGCACGTGTGTCTGGTCAGTTGATCTCCAATTCGGCGTAAGAGGGCACCTGGGCTCTAGAGGCAGGTGAGGCCTCTCTCAACACGGGAGAAACAGAAGGTACAGCAGACAGTTGCCCTGGGAAAACCTGCAGAAGGCTATGCAGCCCCTCCCTGGAAGGAGGCAGGAATGGGCAGGAAGCAGCAGAGGGTGATGCCTGCTGAGCTTCCTGAACCAGAAGACCATGGCCTGAGAGGGCTGCAATCTGAGAGCAGCCGAGGGAGATGCCTGCTGCCTCTGAGGGTACGGCTACACTACACGCCGGATCATCTAGTGTAGACGTGATAAATCGATCCCCGATTGCTCTGCCGTCTCCACCCCAGCAAGAGGCGGAAGTGGAGTCGACGGGGGAGCGGTGGCCGTCGATCCCGATCCCGTGCTGCGAGGACACGAAGTGATTCTAAGTTGATCTAAGATACGTCGACCTCAGCTACACTATTCTCGTAGCTGAAGTTGCGTATCTTAGATCGATACACACACACACACACACA